TGAAGACATGCCTGCTAACAGCAACGCTTGACGAATATGCGACCAGTGATCTTCAACGGTGTTCAGTGGGCGCTTACTCAGCCCAGATGTCAGCGCACTTTGATATACATTCAGAACATCTGGCTTCGCCAGCTGGCTGGTGTCAATTCGCTCACATCGCCATTGCGGACGTCCACCAAAACGCACCAGGAGGTCGGCACAGACAAGTGCGTGGCCAGAATCAACGCTCTTGCTCCAAATCGCGTTACAGTTTTGGACACAGCGTCTCCAGCGGTAACTGATCGTGATATGATCAATTTGCGTCCATGGCTGGCCCGAGGCTGGTGGGCGCCAAGTCACACTTCTGCAAGTGCTGTGTCGAAAGTTAGTGCTCGCGAGAAACAGGCGAGCATCTTCACACAGCTGTAGCAATCGCTCAGCATTATCATTACGGGAGCCTACACCATGTTGGCCGCCCAGATGAAGCTCATCAGAGGACAATTTTCCGACTTGGGCGTTTAGATTGCCAGCCAACACCACAGTATCCGTGCTTCTTCTGTAACGAGGGAGCTTGTGAAGTTGCCGATGGAAATCATCTTTCACCGAATCAGTGCTACAGTTTGTAGGAGCGTAGGCCGCAATGACAAACAGGCACCGTTTGTCCCTGCGCGACTTCGTAGCACGGAACGAACGAGCTAATCTAACTGCGCCCATCCTACTGTTTACTGGGATCCAATCAATCAGGGCAGCTTCAGCCCGGGGACTCAAAACAATGCCGACGCCAACTTGACCGGCATCATCGCCAGACAGACGCAATGAGAATGTGCCGCCAGTGTCGCATGTGGGGGATCTCAGGGTAAGCACAGAGCTCGAACCTTGCAGGTGGGTTTCTGATAAATAGCAAATATCGATCGATCGGGTCTCTAGTGTGCGGGCAAGTGGTGCCTGTTGGCCAATCTGCAGCAAAGTGCGCACGTTGAGGCATGCCAGTCTTAGCGAGACACGAGGACTCCAAAGAGAAACGGATGAACTGACGTTGTCCTCTTGGTTGAACATGAACTTGTCAACTGGATTGGAGCGAGGCCCTGCGATTGTGTGTGATTTGAAATTAGAAGACAAGCGACAATTGAAGTAAGCTGGGGGAGGGCCAAGAATTGGGGGGTTGAAAATGGGGGGATGCAAGTAAAGTTGGAGGGGGACGATAAGATGACGAAGCGCAAGAAGGGATATAAGAAGACGGGAAAGCCTGAGCAGTAGCATCCATACCCCTATCCACTCTGCTCGATGCAGCAGATGGGGCACCGTTTATTATCCTCTGCGACGGCCAGAGCATCAAGAAATTGTTTGTTGAAGGGTTCATTGTGTTACGCGGGCAGAATACTGTCAGGTTGCCCAGGCTTAGACAGGAGAACGATTAGGGTTCTCAACCAAAGCCTTTGGTTCAAAAACCTTACCGCAAGACAGCGGGTTTGGCGTTGGGTTACAAAGAGTCCGTTTTAATAAATAAGGTGCCACCTTCATTCCAACCTCCAACCAGGAGGCTGAGTTTGTCTGGTCTCTAACCAATCTGGTATGAGTGACTCTGAAGGTGCATAAGCACCACCCAGCATAGCACAATGGATCTCTGAGGCACGCAAACCATCGCACCACGGTAAGGTCCAGCCTCATTGCGATGGGCTTACGGAGGTTACAGTTGTCAAAAGGAAATTCAGTTCATTCGCCTTACGGCAAACAGCTGAATGACACTGCCAATACTGAATCGGTATTTAACTTCGCGAAGTATGGTAGCCACCTGGAATCGAAAGAAGTGCATCTTATGAACACAATACACCTTTGAAGCTGCCATGGCACAAGAAGAAAGCGTGGAGACAGAACTATTAGAAAAGCAGTCTGATTCTACACTCCAAAAAAAGTACCTTGAAGTGTGGAGTACCTGGTTTCTTTTCATGCCTTGCTGAAAAGTGTAAAAACTTCAGAATGTGTGCCACAAAGATTAAGGCAATGTTCGTTCGGTTCTACCTATATTTGTGAGCAGTTACTTTCCTTCACGAAAACAACAAAAACTTCTCAGCGAACACGACTGACTGCTCAACATTTGTCATCTCTGAGTAAAGTCGGAACTGCACAAACATTTCGGCCGCATACAGCAACCATTGTTCTGAAAAAGAGGTGTCAAGCCCCAGAAAAAAAACAATATATAAAGGTTTATTTTGAACTGCTGTATTGGTTTTACAATGAAATTGTTACGGTTACATACAAGTCTATGCTGCTGCTAAAAATTCAATTTTTAGTTCTTCTGGTAAACTACGTAATTACCTTGCATTCATGGATGTGTCTAACCGCTAAATCATGTATTTGTAAATCATGTCATGAAGTTGAAATAATTAAAATATTGTGGGACATCATTAGAAGATATGCATACATATATACTGGACTCAGTCAGTTGTCCTGTGTTGCTCTCAGGACAACAAATATTTGTCTATGCGGCCCTCGTGGAGTCCCGACAAAAGGAATCTAATCGCCGGACGTTGCACGCGCGACAGGAGACTGGAGAGGAAACACGTAACCACGCAAGACCGCACTGAGACCTGCACAAGAAAGACATTGGCCAATAGTAACAGTTGTTCACTGACTCAGCCGATGGCGAAGTATACTTCTTATACACCTTCGCATTTACAACTCAGTAGCATAGCGGTGTAGTGCATAAACCACGGCCGGTAGCCGAGTGGTCTGCACGTTTGCTTTGCAACCATAAGGTCACCGGTTCGAATCCGCGTAGGGGTGGGCGTCCTCGCGGTATACTCAGCCCGCGCGCGACTGGTGGTGGTCGCGCGGCAGCGAAGCGCCGTTACGGCGTACAAGCTGACATATTATTATTATTATTATTAGGAAGGAAAGTGGGGTGGTAAGGCATATGAGCTGCTAAGTAGTGGCAATGACCTGAAGAAAACACAGAAGAAAACACTTGGCACGGTAGCTACAGCGGTATGTTGAGTACGGCACAGTGGTTATGTGAGGTGTGCTCGGACGAATACTACGCTAGTTTCGCGGAGTGATACGAACTCCGAAATATCTCAAAGGGGTATTTCACCCATGTGAATTACAGTTACCAATGTTTCCCGATACACTGAGAACTACTTATGAGTACAGGATTCCGTGTGTCATTCGCTGGGCATGCCTCGCAACAGCTCCAAGCGGAAGAAGTCGCTGGAACTGGGAAGTCATAGGTTCGATCCCTGGAGGAGCAGAAAGATCCGCACCATTGACGAATCCTTATAGGTCGAAGCGACTGCTCAGTGCTTATCAGAGGATACGTGGAAAGTTGCTGACTTGGAGTTACTACACAAATTCTCAGTAGTGAAAGTTTTCTGTCCGCTGAAAATTCGTATTCGTGAATCTCGAGCTCACCTAATGCGACGACGATGGTTGAGCATTGGGTCAGGAAGTCAGAGCTACAAGGTTCGAACGATTACGAGTGGATTATTTTTCAAGGTATTGCACAGCATATCAATTTGCAGTAGCTAGTAAATATGAAGATGATTTTTGAAATAGAACAGACTCATGTATGTAGGAGTATTATGCGATTTAGCGTGCATTATATATCAGCTATCGTTTGAGTTCCCAAGGTGGGTAGGTAATGGACACATGCACACACGCACACACCTAGCACGAATGTACCCATGAATAAAACAGTTTTCCTACTAAAACGTACACAGGCAACTAGGCAGGAGCAATTTCATAAGCGTAAAGTGCCAAACAGGTCCGCAGTCACGTGGATGTTAAATAGCATTGAGCCCGTATCAAAGACAAACAATATCTATGCAAAGGAGCGAAGTTCAAATACACACGTAGCAGCGGTTACTACACGCCGGCGTCAACGAGAATGATGGATAACACATCAACGCATCGGCAATCATGGATTCCATGATCTTGGATAATACAGGGAGAAGGGACACTAGGTGGTAGTTTGAGGTCTCAGTCTTGCTTCCGCCTTTGTTAATCGGAGTTACTATTCCAAGTTACTACATCGCAGGAATCTGGTTCTGGTCTGAGCAGCGCTGGAAGAACAGTCGCAATGGTTTTGCTAGCTGTTTTGATGTTTCTCCCAGTGCCCCCGGACGAATGGTGTCGACTCCCGGAGGGCTGTAGTTGCGCAGATAAGTCAGCTTCCACAAAACAGCTTCAGCAGTAAAAGAGATGTGAGTCCTGGAGGTGGGAAAACAAAATTTGGAGAATGACCTGAAATGTGGGAGCATATTGTGACTGCATCGGGTTTCATGCTTCCTCCACTGTTCTAGTTAAACCATCAGTCGTCCGGATAGGAGGAATACCCTGTCTCACCATACGACATCCATTGATATACTTGTACAACAGTAGGTGGTTAGCGTCGAAAGTTTTTGCCATTTTCTGCTAAGATGCGACATTGTTATCCCCGAGCATTTGATTTCAGTGGTTACGATAGGCTACGTATTTGTCCCAATTATCTGGTCTTAATGATGATCTGTACTCTCGTCAGACTGCGCTGCATATTATCACCAACAGCATTACATCAGAAATTTAAACTGTTGCTTCCCTGCCATACAACCATGAGGACTTGTGAAATAAAGAATAAGAAGAGGGAGAGAAGGGGGACTTACCTGAAAACCTTAATGCCCTAAGCAAACATTCGGGGTCAAGGCGCCTACACCTTGTGTTAACAACATACCGTCACAAACAACTGGCTATCAAGCAAAGATAAGGTGGCATCGGCGAGACAGCTTTCACTGTCACGCGTCATAATCAGCCATTACCCCGCAGATAACTCAGCACCAAACATACTTTAAACAGGCAATCCGATTAGAAGACGGCAGCAGACGCGCCACTGGTGTCGGTTGCGAGCCATATCTCCAGTCAGGCACAAGGCGAGTCAGGTGGACTCCAACCCGGAAGGCGAGACGGACCAACGGCACTAAGTTTGGTCGTCAGTGACTGCATTTCCCATTGTCAAGTCCACTTCTGTCCACCTCGAGCCTTGTGCCACCTCACAGCTGCCGTGAAGTGGCTAGTTCGCTTGGTACTGTCACCATTGGACAACTGTATGGCGTGGCTGATACCGTTACACAGAGAGAGAGTGGAATAAATACTCGAGAACGAACCTTTTCTTTACGAGTCTTGGTGCGTACACTCAGCTCCTCATCATATTCAAGAAAGACGCGGAAATTGTGATCAAGACGAAACTTTGGGTGGGAAGCCAGGCGCTGAAGGAAGACTTCGTGCATAGCCACCGTTTTTTTGAAGGTGGCCAGGTACTCACTGAAAATAAAATAGAAAAACAAGGGGGATTAACTAAGCAAAACGTTCTTAGTGTCGATGCAGCGGAGTCGCAGGAAAATGCAACCATGCGAGATTTGCTTGGCCAAGAACACACTGCTATCGCTAACTTTAGCTGGATTAGTCTCGTGAATGAATACAGCGATATAAACAAATAAACGGTATCATTATTGGGTCTTGAAGTACCCCGCCGTGTGTTTGGATTGCGAGACACAATCTTAATTGAGGCTACAGTTTGCTTTGAAGCACACCTATGCCATTTCGAACACTGGGACCGCATCCGAAGTGGAGCGTTTCGGAGCTGCACTCCAGGACGGACTGGTTTCGTTCTGATTTGGACTCGTCAGGTAGAGATAGCTTGAGCTGAGAGGGGAGCCTAACACTGGGATTGGCGGCTTCTGTCATGGTCACTAGGTCAGGGCTTCAAAGCAGCACCTGACGGTGTAGTACTCCACAGTGCGAGGCACAGTCGATTTGAATAATTTCATAAGTGCACCGAAGTGGACGACCCGAAGAGGAATTGTCTGAGACGAAAAATAGTAAGATGGAAATAGGTTTGACGACAAGAAATTAAAGCAACTAAATGACCGGAAATAAAGGAGAACGAGGGCAGATGCAATCAGAAACGCTAAATGACGTGAAGCTGCTACAAACTGATTTTGCATGCTCTAACAAGCTGTCTTGGATGTGGGGACTAGCGGTGAAGTAAGAGAAGAACCCTTTTGACGCGGTTTATGATAAAATAATGGCAGGGGCGGAGTCACCTAAACATGATACATAAAGATCAGGAAACACGTGGTAAACAGAGCGTAGTAGCGAGTGCAGAACGACAGAGTAGTGCAAGTTCCTCAGGCTCCACAAGGAGTAATATAGTGTGAGAGCCAACTGGACAATGTTCTCATCAGCGAAAATAGTGTGATTGCAAAGCAACTGCCGGAAGGCAAGAACTCACGCCTCAAGCTCCGCCTTCATCTTTTGTAAATCCTCTTTCGTCAGAGAACCCTCGTTCTCACCCAATCGTTGCAATTTGGTTCTTGAAGCGTCGAAATCTGGTTTTGGAGGAACAGGGGGAACCTATGGGTAGGGGATGCAGAAAAACAAGAATGAAAGCAAAGCCCCCCGGGCCAGACGGACTTCACCCACTAATACTCAAGTCCCTATCGATTATCATCTCACCAGTTGTGACAAACCTTTTCAATAGATCGCTCTCTGAAGGATCTGTCCCCAACGACTGGAAATGCTCGATAGTTAAACCGCTTCCCAAGGGTGGTGATCAGAGTAAAACAGAGAACTATAGACCGATCTGTTTGACTTCGGTATTATCCAAAGTTCTCGAGAAGGTTGTGAAAAAATGTCTGCTGTCGTTCTTCGAATCGATGGACATATTGACGCCAGCGCAACACGGCTTTACGAAAGGCCGATCCTGCATCACCAACTTGATGTACGCTAACCACCAGTGGGTTCGAGCTCTCAATGAACAGAAGGATGTTGACGTGGTGTACATCGACTTTAGTAAGGCGTTTGATAGAGTGAACCACGAGGTACTCCTTCGTAAACTGAGGACATACGGAATCGGTGGCACGTTACTTCTGTGGATACAAGAGTTTATTGTGGGACGAAGGTTTAGAGTACAGGTCAATGACTATCTGACAGAATGGTTCCCATCGACCAGTGGCGTGCCTCAAGGAACTGTACTTGGGCCAGCATTATTTCTTATTCATATCAACGATCTTCCGCAGCAGCTTCAGTCACCATGTGTCCTGTTTGCAGATGATTTGAAAATCTGGAGGATCATTGAAAACCAGGGCGACTGCGCTCGCCTCCAGCATGACTTAGAGCGACTGTCAACGTGGTCCACTGAAATGCAACTCCCTCTTAACGCAAGCAAGTCGGAGTTCATCAGTATCACCAGACGTCCAGCCACTCGATCATACACCTTGGACGGCCAGTTGCTCCATCCCAACACATCTGTCAGAGACTTAGGAGTTCTCTCACGACATGATTTAAGATCACTAGAAAATACAGAGAAATTGTACCGTGCGGGACTTCGTATGCTCTGGGCATTACGACGCAGTTTCTCCACATGGTCCGAAGAAACCGTCCCTCGTCTATTCACCTCGCTCATTAGACCAATCCTTGAATACGGTGCCCCAGCTTACCATCCGATAACCCAGTGGGAAACTGAAAAATTGGAGAAAATACAGCATATCGCAACTAGAATGATACCAAGTCTACGAAAACTTCCATATGAAAAACGTTGTGAAAAGCTCGGACTCTACACACTATCCTATCGCCGAGTAAGAATTGATCTTATTATGACCCATCGAGTACTACACTTGAATCACTTCCCCATACTACGGCCAATATTTCACCTGCGAGAACCCTGTAACACCCGAGGACATCGTTACAAACTCAGGGTCCCCAGCATGAACAAAGTATCACATCAGCTTTGTATCGAACGAAGAATCGTAAACTTATGGAATACACTACCTGAAGGATTAATAGAGGCCGATTCTGTGAAGTGTTTTAAAACCCGTATCGACGATTATTTTGCAAACCTGTGCTTTTGTGAAACGATGCACATACAGTGCCAAAAGAATACATTGTATGTCCGGAAATAATGACGCTAGTACAAATTTCTAACCGAACACGGATAAACGATTAACGGACCAGACACAACTGCTGATAATTCACAAGTAAATTTTGATTTTTCGTAATTCGATAGAGTTGTACAGAAACCTTTCTACTTGCTCTTAAATACAGTATCAGTATCAGTATCAGTATCAGATTAGGAACGCTGTGATGTGATTAAGAAGAAGTGATGATGAAGGTCTTTGTGTCACGACTGAGGTGATGACGGACAAAAAACGGGTCAAAAACACTAAGGCACCAGTACAGACCAACAAGTGGTACGGGTCCACGGCATGGTCCAATGGTCGAGCAAACCGCAGATAATAACTTGGCATCCTGAAGTTAGCAAAACCTAACTTGGTTCGCACAACGAGATGTGGTTCGACCCGTGTGTTAACTGACCGAGCTGTGACAGTGGGCCTAGCTTAAGGTGCAAAGAGCTGTGGATTGTGTCTGGTTGTTGAGATCCGACTTCAAACTGTTGAAGCACAGACACGCTGTCGTCAGTTACATAGCAATGGACGATAACAAGCTATTGGTGGTCTGAATAAACTTTCGATCTCCATGAAAAGTGTAGCGCCGGAGATAGCATAGCGAAGCCCAGAAAAGGTATCACAACAATCATGGTTAACGCTTCAAAGTTTCGCTCGCAAGATCGCAAAACAGAATATCGTATGACGCCGAAGACACAAAGTAGATCAGTAGCAAATATACATCAGATAAAAATTGGAACAGTTTAAGCATTTAGTAAACCTGGAAAAAAACTCGATGCGATCAAGCAAATCGGAATGAGTGAGGAACGCCATAATAGCCCATCAAGATAAACGTTACCCCCGAATCTCAATGAGCTAGTGTTAAGGACGTCAACTGCAAACCATTAGGTCGGAGCTTCGAACCCGGTTTGACTCATCTACAATTTATGAAACTGAGATAGAACGAAACTGCTCTAGTAATGTAGTGCCGCGATCGAGCGACGCTGAGTGCTTCCAGAGTGAGTCGAATTTTCGACGTTTCATCATAAGGCAATTTACAGTTCATTTACTGATTGGTGGAAGATGTCAGAGCTAAAAATATGCTGTGGGCTTAGTGGAGCGAAACCAAACATGCGGTTTTATCTCCTTGGCATATGTACTCCTGTCAGGCGCAAGCAAGCGAAATGCCATGAGCAGCAAAGTTATTGGCATAAGACTGCAAAGATTCGCATTTTAGTTTACAATGACTAATCGCAGCAAGACAACCATCGTCAAGCATAGAATTTGTGAAAGCTACGTAGTGTGATTAAAAGAATCAGAACAAGCCGTGGCTGCTAAGTTAGGGAACTAAGGCTTGTTCAATCAAGTACGTAGACATCTGTCAACCGGTGAAGACGGATGTTCTGAATGTGTGTCGACGTACGCAGGCATGCGGATTGAATAAGCACTCGCTAAACATAGTTGAAGATCTGAGGTAGCAAATCCGTCGGACGTTACAAGCAGCAGGTATGTCGTCGTGTAGGGGAATCTAATTGCCGGTCTGGACATGGTGTCTCTGCGATGTCTCCGGAAAATCTCAGTGCTAACCAAGAGAAGCGAACACAATGAGACTCACAAAGATCTCAGGGAGAAACTGCTCCGGAGATGGAAACAGCCTAAGCCCTTGGTAACCGTCGTAAATTATTCCGTCTGATACGGTAACGGAAGACTTTATATTATCGAAACTAAGTGAGAAGAGATGGGACAGTCAATCCACAAGTTCTCGAAATGCTTGAAGCGTTGGGCCAGACATTTAAAATCAGTTTAACCGGACAGAATTGTTTGGCAGCATCCGGTTCCGGATTTGACTGTCAAATTCTTGGAACCAGCTCTTAAGGATGATTTGAAAAGTTTACTATTGAAGCTGTGGGAACAGAAGAGTCCCCCCCCCCCACCAAACTGGAGCCGTTCGATAGTAGTCCCGCTTTTCAAGGAGCTCATATTCGGTATGTATTAATCGTAGAGGAATCAGTCTGATTTTAATAGCATCTAAGTTAGTTGAATTGGTTGTTCGCCATACACTTGTTGGCACCCGTGAAAGCCACATTCGCGAATAGCAAACAGGGTTTCGTCAAAACCAGAAAGGTATTGATCACCTCTTCCACAATACGCCAATTATTGGAACATCGCCACATTTATTGGTCACCAACCGTATTCATGGGCTGGTTTGCCGAACAACGTCCTCGTGGTGCCAGCAAGATGGTTCGGGATTATCCCGTTCCAGCAAATCGTTTGGCGGAAGTGTTTCAGGACGTGATGGGTTTTCGCCTGACAAGCGATCTCCCTACAAAAAACTACATATATCCGTTTCACAAAACTGTGAAGTGGCGGACGTGACTCGCGACTAAATAAAGTCACTGCCCCTTGCTTCATCTTGACGAAGCCTTGTATTCCAGCAACTTTGTGCTGTAATTCTGCGGAGCATTGGGCCCCTATTTGACAAAGGAATAAACGAAGGGCGTATGAACTGAGCAATCAGTCACTCGCTCCCAATGGGCGCGATTTCCTGAATGCGCTCCGCTGCCTTGCGGGCAGGCCATTCGGCCAAAGGCTCGGGGTGAAGTCCCCTAAGTCAACACCCTACCTCGGTTTGGGCAACCGGGTAGTAGCTGGTACTCTGACGAGACCATAGGCTCCTCCGTATTGTGTTATTTTAACGATATCTTTATGTTCTTTTGAGTTAATTGTTTTTAATGGCTCCATGCTTATTCGTAGGCTGTTGCAAATGTATATACACACTACACTACATTATACACGTTACACAGAGGTCAGAAACCCCTCAGCTACCGTGCGGCAATACCTAAAAGAAAAAAGGGAAAAAAATGCAACAGGAGCAAGCCAGGTAAGCTAAGGGTAACGGATGAGCGTCGCTCCGACAAGCTACCAGCCGGCTATTAATAAAAAAGAAAAAATTATTATGTTTTACGCTACGATATGAGATCGTAGGTGGAGGGGAGGCTAAGAGGTGTGGGGTGAAACAAAGAAACTCACAGCACGAACGCCAGTGAGGTCGGATCCTAGCCATGTCAGCCAAACGTGTTCATCGTCTTTCGGGCCCCAACAAGGGAGCCGAGACGCTACAACTGAGGCCAGCTTCGAAGTGAGGGTCTTCATTCCTCTCGACCAAGTCATCGCTTGGCCACCTCTTTTTTTCTTCCATGCACACGCCGGCGCGCAAACAACGCAAGTCGCGGGAGTCGGTGGGCTGGCATGCGTAACAAGTGGCCCAGACATCGAAGCCTGGTGCGTGAAATGACGGTGCTGAGTGGCTCATTTCCTTTTCCTGTGCCGTACACAAGGCGTCGAACACGCGGTGTTCCCACCAGATGTGAGCTAAATTGCGAAGGCACCGGTGGTCGAACGTAACTAGCCTCTTTATGTCCCCTGATCTAAGGGGGCCAGGTTCCACAACCTTACAGTAGGGTCGAACGT